ATGGAGTTCGCAGTGTAAAACCCCCCCTCCAATATCGGAAACAAATTTCGCACCAACAACAAGCAGCGCTACAACTTCTGCAACAACAGCGAAAACCCCTGCAACTCAAAGTACCACGACGTCAACGACTACAGCGAGTACAAAAACAACAACCTCGGAAAGTGCCAAAGCGGCAACGGCCACACAGACTGGAATGGATCGCTACATCCAAATTAAGCGCAAGCTTAGCCCGCAGAGTAATCCGGCAGGCAACAAAACAAAAATTAACCGTGTCCTGAATAACGATAATGAACCAGACAGATCCACTACTAACAGATTTGCCCTACTGGCGGAGGCTGAGGAAAACCAACCAGCCCAAGACACCGCAAAAAAACCCAAGCCCCCTCCAATCTATATTAGGGAAAAAAGCTCGAGTGCCCTGGTCAACAAAATTGCGTCGTTGATCGGGAACGGTGAAAACTTTCATGTTGTTCCGCTTATCAAAGGGAACATCCATGAAACAAAGGTGCAAACCAAGACTGAAGAGCACTTCCGAATAGTGTCAAAATATCTGGACACTGTACAGAAAAACTATTACACGTACCAGCTGAAAAGCAGTAAGGGCCTACAAGTGGTAGTAAAGGGAATAGAACCTGATGTTACCGTCGAGGAAATAAAAACCGCCCTTAAAGAAAAGGGCTTCGCCGCCAAGAATGTTATTAACATTCTAAATAAAGATAAAAAGCCACAACCCCTCTTCAAGGTCGAGCTCGAGCCTGAAAGCAGGTCGCTGAAGAAGAACGAAGTCCACCCAATCTACAACCTGCAATATCTTTTGCATCGGAAAATCACTGTTGAAGAGCCACATAAACGTAACGGTCCAGTGCAATGCACTAATTGTCAAGAGTATGGACACACAAGGTCTTACTGCACACTTCGGGCTGTCTGTGTAGTCTGCGGGGACGCCCACAAGTCCGCTTGCTGCACTACAAACAAGGACAGTACCGTGAAGAAATGTGGAAACTGCGGAGGCAGCCATACGGCAAACTATAGAGGATGTATTGTGTATAAGGAGTTAAAGAGTCGCATGCGTCAAGCGACCGCAACGCGCAACCAAAATCCACAGAATGCGTACGTTTCGTCAAAAACCACGCCAGACGTCTTCTTCGCCAAAGCTGCGAGATCCTCATTCGGTCCACTAAACACCACCAACGGCTTCTCCTATGCCGATGCTCTACGATCTGGAAGGGAAATTCCAATTCAGCCTAACTCTCAAAGCGCTCAACAGGCCCCAGAACAGCCACACAGCAAAACGGAAACTATGATGCTTACCCTCCAACAAAGTGTAATGGAGCTTATGTCATTCATGAAAACGACCATGCAAACGCTTGTTCAAAACCAGAACATGGTGATACAGCTGCTCGTAGCACAACAGTCCAAATAATCTATGCAGGCGCTACGAATATCAATGTGGAACGCCAATGGTGTCTCACGGCATAAACTAGAATTGTCACAATTCTTGACCGAAAACCATATTGACGTTATGCTACTGGTGGAAACGCATCTTACAAGCAAATACAACTTTCATATAAGAGGCTACACAATCTACCGCACAGATCATCTAGATGGGAAAGCCCACGGCGGAACTGGAGTTCTAATCAGAGAACGAATTAAACACCATTTTCACAAAAGGTTTGCAACAAACTTCTTGCAGGCCACATCGATACAAATTCAGTCAAGCAACGGAATCCTTTCAATTGCTGCCGTTTACTGCCCTCCTCGCTTCTCAATCTCGGAAGGACAATTTATGGACTTCTACAATTCACTTGGGGATCGATTTATAGCCGCAGGAGACTACAACGCCAAACATACGCACTGGGGATCACGTCTAGTGACTCCCAAAGGAAGACAATTGTACAATGCAATTATAAATGTGAAAAATAAACTGGACTACGTTTCCCCTGGAAGTCCCACATACTGGCCAACAGACTCACGAAAGCTCCCAGACCTTATTGATTTTGCAGTGACAAAAAACATACCTCGCAATCTAATAAGTGCCAAAGCAGTCTCGGACTTATCATCAGACCACTCGCCTGTGCGTCTAACGCTTCTTCAAAGCCCAGAAATAACCGAACACCCCTTCAGTCTGACGACGACAAAAACAAACTGGCTAAAATACAAAAAGTACGTGAGTGCCCACATAGAACTCGCCCCGGATTTTAACATGGAATCGGACATCGACTACACTACGAGCGCCCTGGAAGAAGTACTCGTTGCGGCAGCTAAAATCTCTACTCCTCATAGGAAAGAAGTAGACCGAAACAAACACTTCAAATCTAATCAGCAAATCGAACAGCTCGTGCGAGAAAAGAGGCGCACGCGTCGTGATTGGCAAAACAGCAGATCACCAGCTTCAAAACAACGCCTTAAGGAAGCAACCCGATCACTCGACCAGGCTCTTCACCAACAGGAAGAAAATGCACAGCTGAGGTACATCCAGAATCTCTCGCCAACAAGCACAAAGTACCCCCTGTGGAGGGCCCACCCAAATCTTAGTGCCCCAATTGAAACGACCACCCCGATAAGAAACTCTTCGGGATGCTGGGCTCGCAGCAACGAAGACCGAGCTGAAACATTCGCCACACATCTCCAAAGTGTCTTCCAGCCAAACCCAGCCTCAAATTCATTCCTCCTGCCAGTAATTCAGCCAGAGTCCTCCCCTCAGCCAGCCGCACCTCCATTCCGGCCGAACGAAATCGAAAAAGTCATAAGAGGGCTAAAACCAAAAAGGCTCCCGGTGGTGACCTATTGACCCCAAAGATGCTGATCGAACTTCCAAAATGCGCTATAGAGGTCGTCTGCAAACTATTTAATGGAATCATTAATCTTGGCTATTTCCCAAAAAAGTGGAAGAAATCCATTATTATAATGATTCCGAAGCCTGGAAAAGACCACACAATTCCGTCATCATACAGACCAATAAGCCTTCTATCTTGTTTGTCTAAACTGTTTGAAAAATGCTTGTTAACTCGCATAATACCACATTTGGAAGCTTGCAATATCATCCCGGCACACCAATTTGGCTTTCGAAGAAACCATGGAACCATCGAACAAGTGAACAGATTAACATCCGAAATACGCTCAGCCTTCGAACAACGAGAATACTGCAGCGCTATTTTCCTCGACGTATCTCAAGCTTTCGACCGAGTTTGGCTCATCGGACTCATGCACAAAATTAAAACGTATTATATTTGCCAACATACACCCACAAGCTACTGGAATCATACCTCTTCAATAGGGTATTCTCAGTGAGATGCAACGCAGCTACCTCGGGCGACTACACCATCGAAGCTGGAGTTCCACAGGGAAGCGCACTCGGGCCGTGTCTATATGTTTTGTATACTGCGGATATTCCTACGAGCGCACAACTAACAACGTCAACGTTCGCCGATGATACCGCTATCCTTAGTCGCTCCAGATGCCCAACGCAGGCAACAACCCAACTGGCTAATCATCTCACAATAGTGGAAAGGTGGCTGTCCGACTGGCGCATTAAAATAAACGAACAAAAGTGTAAACATATAACGTTTACTCTTAATAGACAAACATGCCCTCCGCTTTTACTAAACGGTATGCAGATCCCTCAAGCCAACGACGTAACGTACATTGGCGTTCACCTTGATAGACGACTTACCTGGCGTAAGCACATCGAATGCAAAAAGATGCATCTAAAACTGAAAGCCAGCAGCCTCCACTGGATCATAAACTCACGATCGCCACTGTGCCTAGACTACAAGTTACTACTGTACAATTCAGTCCTAAAGCCAATCTGGACGTATGGCTCCCAGCTGTGGGGGAACGCGAGCAGCAGCAACATAGACATCATACAGCGCGCACAATCAAAAATCCTGAGAACTATCACAGGGGCACCTTGGTATGTTCGCAACGAAAACATCCACCGGGATCTGGGCATCCTCGCAGTGAAAGACGAAATCCAGAAGCAAAAAGAGTCATACAAAGAAAAACTGTCTTCGCACCCAAATTTTCTCGCTCGGGGATTGACTCGGGTTTCTAGCGTATCCCGCCTTAGACGCAACGACCTCCCAACCCAGCAATCGATTTTTAGGGCCGTCTAACTCCGTATCAGTCAATATGACTGTTAGTTAAGTTAAAAATATAAGATTTGATACACCTCTTGTTAGTCTCGCAAAGAGAAGATTCAAGAAATAAAAGCAACGTTAAAATAAAAAAAAAAAAAAAAAAATTCGGAAGTTACAAAAATGAAATCGGAAGTGTATGGCTCAACAGGACAAAGTATTTATAAACAGCGATTTCACACGGAAAAGCCTGTTGTATAAGATCAGCCATTGTATGTAACCACAATAATTCCCTTGAAATTAATAGATTCCAAAAATCAAATTATTTGGTTGAATCCTTCTCCTCAATTGGTCAGATTCTGCCGACCCCTTAAAATTGATTGGGAAACAACTGAACTGATAAAAAATGAAAAAAACGAACTTGGACGAGCAAATAAAAACCTTAAGCACACCTACACTCGCGGAATCAAAAAATAATAGTGAAATATGAAGCTGATTTGACTTTAATCGATGGCAAAGTTTTAAATGTGTGAACTGGTACAAATTCATGCCAATCCTGCCCATTATGTGGTGAAAGGTCAAATACACTTTTGAAGACGAAAAATATTGAGTCAATAAACTTTCATATGTATACTGATAGATATTATAGCTATGCATACTATATGCATCAAGGTATGGAGTTACAAAACCTAATATTAGGCTATAACTAATTTTAAATTTAATTTTTCAGGTATCCAAATCAAATTTATAATGCAAATTTCCTTAAAAATATATTAATTAATTAATTAATATATTAATTTATTAAATATATTATGTTAAAATATTTAAAAACAAATTTAAAAAAAAAAATCGAAAATTCCAATTTGATGGTAATGTGGGCGGGAAAGAAGGCGTGGTCCAATTAAAAATAAATAAAAAAATCGATCTTAATTTTTGTAGGTACATATATGTACCAATTCTTGTTTTTCTATCTTTAAAAATGTTAAAAATGCCGCAATTGGGACTTTTTGCAAGGAGGTTCCTTCCATGTTGGCAACTTTACAACTTAAAGGTATTGTTAAAATAATTATATACAAAATGAATGCAATTTTAGTTATTATTCAAAGATATCGCGAAAAACGGTAGGTATTTCATTTATCATATCACTTGCTACCATGCTCCTACCTAATTTGTTAAATGCAGCTAAATTTAATTTCTTTATAAAATGACTCGATGCACAAGCAGCAAGGTATGCTGGATTTTGTTGGTTTGACTGCAAAGTCCAAAAAAAAAATGTTGCTATTGATCCGCTAAGCAAGTCCCCTTGTCCTCCACACCTTCGACCGGATCCTCCAATAGGCATTGAGTAAATTTCTTTAGTGTGAGGAATATACAGTTTGTCAGTTAAGCCCTTTTCTAGCACTAATACTCCTTCTCCCAATAGCGACATTTCTTCCATCACTAAATGTGGATCCTTTCCAAACAGTCTTTGGAATTCTACAGCGTTTGGGGTCAATATTACATTCTGCTTTCCATGTATCAAATTAATATTATCTTTTAGTACAAATAACCCATCAGCATCAATAATGACTGGTTTTCGCACTGTCACGCAGTATTTTAATAATTCGATTGTCGTTTTTAGAACGGTCGGATCCCGTCCCAAGCCGGGACCAATAACCTAAAATAAGTCAAACAGATATTAAAATCTTTACATATATGTATACGTATTTACATTTTATGTATGTAGATATCAGAGGTATGCATGGATTGCCTCAGACATAGAATATGCACATGCGAATGGAATAGAATGATGTAGAGAAAGAGGCACATATTGAGTGAGGGGAAGTGGGAGATCTCAAAATACATACATATGTAGGTACATAGGTAATTTAAGGCAATTGCATAACCTCTACTATACTATTAGTTAATTCAAGGCAGAGCAGTGCACTGTCGCATCTCAGATTTTATTTATTCAAGAAAGTTCATAGCCGATAAATATTTCATTACCCTGAGTAACTAATTTTAGATACATATACGTTAAATAAGTTATATTCGACGGCTTCCACATTCGATTTACCCACATTGCATGCAAACTCCAACTCTTACTCATCCAAGTTATTTTACTACCCAATGCTACTCATTAATTCATTTATTTTCCTCTTCGGATTCTATCTCACTCAATACATTTTTAACCTTGTGCATTTGAAAGTCGTTTTTTGGCTATTCATTCAGACCTCTCTTTCTCCGCCATATACTTACAATTACATGTAATCCCTGTAACCATGGAACAATTTTTTCAACAGCGTCTAAGCGATCCAGAACTGGGTGAACAATTAAATCTGGGCTATATGATTTAATAACTGTAGCTGCATTGTTGTGACAAAAAACATGCGATATGTCAGCACCTACTTTCATTGCAGAAATTGCAGCAAAATATGGCGCACCCGTATACTCCAAGCAACCTCCAATAACACCAATTCGCCCATTTTGGCCTTTGCACTTATCGGTTGTAAGTTTCGGTACCAAGCTCCGAAACAAATTCAAAAGTTTAGATACATTAACGGGTATATCTTTTTTTGAAGCCATAGTCTAAATGACAAATGTTCATTTAACATAAAACAATTACTTGTTAGAATCATGACCGTCAACCTGGCGCCGCTTAGGTAGTGGCCGATGGGAAGTATTGGAATCTGGAACATACGTGCAATGTTTGATTTAAAATCGAATTGAATAAATAATAAGTTGGGACCAATATTCATTATATTCCTAATACATAAATATGTGGGTATGTATATAAAGTGCTAATTTAAATTAGTCTTCCTTTAGGAGTTATTTCTATATCACGCTTTCAAGAACTCGTGATGGCCATTGCATAATACATAATAATAATTAATACGGAAGGTATTAACGCGAAAAAAATATTTTTGTGCTTTTATGTGAAAGTAGTTTTGCCACCTTGCCTCCTAACTTTTCACATTTACTTTTTGATTTGTAAAATAACTTTTATTTTAGCAAATCACACAAGAAACATTTTTTGTGTATTGAATGGTCACAAAAAAGAACAAAGTTTTAGCGTTAGAAAAAAAAATACATACTACTTCATAGTACTTGATTGTAAGTTGACATATCGAGCCCTATTTGCCAAAATAACGTAAGCGCCAAAAAGCAATTTTTAAAAGAGAGGTTTTTTCGCGTTTTTTTCACGGCCACTAATACAAGCGTTTGTCGCTTGGCAGGCCGATATCTCAGTAAATAGATGCTATTAATTGATTTTAATACTTTGGGAGCAATTATGTACAAGGTATATAAGGTACATGTACTCATACACCTTCCCTTTTCCTCCCTTACGGGAACACAGGAGGCATACGTCTCCCGGCGGCAAGCGGCAGTAGCCGCATATTATATTTTTAGGAACTACGTAAATAGCTAAAATAAGAGGCCCTGTCGATGCCGTTGCTGTCCTCGTTTGGCACTGTGTTTAGTTTCGACGCGATCATAAATCGACTCGATATTACGTACAGTGACAAGCGTCACTCAGATACACGTTGTGGAAATCCTTACCGGCAGAGAAGAGCGACGGCATAGATGAGAATGACGCCTCTCATAAGAAATAGATTATACCATTAATGTACAATTCAATTAGAGTTAGTTGACCTGGTAACGCCAGCAGTGCCGGTGCTAATAAAAGAGTGAATCAAAGACCGTACTTGGAATTATTATTTAAGTCGGTAATAAGGCTTTGTTACACACGTCATCGATCAGGAGATGGGCACTCTCTGGCAGGGAAATCTGTCGCTCCTACAATACTATGACGAAGTCGAGAAAAAACTCACCTTGCTCACGAATGAAGCCACCATGTCGTACGAGGCGTCGGCGGCAAAGTTTTGTGTGGCAAATTCCGGGATGACGAACTCCGAATGTTTAGCTCGGGACTCAAGCGCAGTCTCACGGATCTGCTCTTTTCGGCCCTATCTGCCCTATCCCGAGGGCATAGGAAATTTCTCTGCCCGAGCTCTGCCACACACACAGAGTATAAATGTGTGAAACGTCATGCTCACAGCCTACTTTCTGCTATTCGTAACTAACACTAATGCGTTAAAATGAAATCAATGTATTGGGGTGCCGACCACTGCTTTATAGGGTCGGAATCCTTCACTGCGTTTCACACTTTTGCCCATAATTTTAATACCCTCTGCAAGGGTGTAAAAACAACTACCAAAGTGGAGAATAGAGATTCCTAAGAAATTTCGAAAATGGGTTCAATGATCCGTCAGTCTGTTAGGCATACAAAGGACTCAAATTTTTCACCTATTTGCCTCTCGCTCACAGCTGAAAAAAAGCTTTTGTCGATCTGAGTACTAAGTTTAAATTAGTAAACAGAAACAAACAATAATAGAATTGAGTTTGGCAGTGGAATGTGTCTGGTGCAAAGACAAAAAAAATTCTGAAAAAATAATGTAAACGCTGGCCAAAGTCAAATTGATAAATTCGATGAGTTTAAAATTAAAGATCTAATTAAATGAGTAGAAATTCTTCTCGTCATTTAAGATTTGTGAGACAAACCATATTTTATTGTCAATTTCATGGCACCAATTGCGCAAAAAAAAAAAATTTTAAATTCATATTTTTACACCCAAATAGGTTCAAAATCCACAAAGGACTTCTAAAATCCAACATTGTCAATGTTTAAATTTAAATTCAAATAAATTTTAGGAGGGATCGTAGTGCATAACTTGAAAATTTACACTTACTCTGGAAAGAATAAACGTTTTTACTCGCCAAACACGTTTTTCAATTTCAGTACTAGGCTTTACTTAAGACCACTTTAACTTAAATGGCAAAAAATGAATCAAACACCAAAAGATCCGATCCGATCCAAACACCGATCTGTAAAGGATCGCAAGAAAACTATAAAACTAACGGTTCTTGCAATATAATTATTTTTGTAAATTCTGGTGCATTCTAGACATAAAAACAAAAGGCGATGGAAAGCTTTTTTTTCTCTTTTTTTCTACAAAACAAGTGCACAGATTGCCTGTAATTTTCGTTGGCGCTCATAAAAATATTATTTTTTCCATTAGTTGGTTCGTTGTTTGAACCAGAGGAAAAACGAAGACGCCACACAAGTAAGGTGTACTAGTACTTAGGTGTGGTAGTACTTACCACAGTACTTACCACTTAATATCAACCTCCAGTACTTTTTTGGTTGGTAACCATTTATTTTACTAGTTACAAATTAAAGCCCAGTTCTGCAGGGTAACATTAAGAAGCTTTCTAAAGATAAGGTTAAGAAATATAATAATATTAAAGATTTTGTGAAGCTTTTTAGCATTCCTCTTATAACAGTTTATTTAAATGATAATTAATTTTGCGGTAAAACTTGTCAACCAACGGCAGTGGCGTAGGTGTGGGGGCGTCAAAAGCATCAGTCCCTATTGGTAAGTTATCCCTCTTCGAAAATAGTTATCTACGCCATTGAATACCATAGACTAGTAAATTAAGTTCAAGATTGTTATCAGTTCTCGTGTAATAAATTTGGTTTACTTAGTATTTGACTGTTAACAAAGAAACGTGTGCTAATAATATAAAATTATGGAATCATCAGCGATGTCTATTGACAATTCGGAAATTGACAGTATTATTATGATGTCTACATCAAGTTTCAATTCAAAGCAGATCACAAATATCATTGGTGTACCTAGTGAATTTTCCGAGCTAAATTTGCCAACTTTCCGGGATGTACTTAAATATTATTTTTACGTGAGTGATCGCAAAAAACAGCAAACAAAAACAACACTCTTATGCGAGCCTTACTCCGATGATTGCAGACAAAATAATTGAAATTTGGAGAAAGACGAATATTAAATTAATAAATATAAAAAGCATCATTAAAAAGCTTAATAAATTTATAAAAAAATATCAGCGAGAAATTAAAAACATTACTAGAACTAATTCAATTACTGAATTTGAGAAAAGCTTAAATGATTTGTTTTATGTCGCTAAATGCAGTTGTAAGAATACAATGCCATGCTCCTGCGGATTAATTCCTGACCACTTGAAAATGTTCATGATTGACCAACACACCAGCAGAAGAAATACCATTCCCGAAGTTGTGCTAAATATAGTCGATCAACAGTCAAGCCAATTGCCAGAAAGCTCTGATCCTTCTTATAGACCCGAATCCGCGGATATGAACATCGAAAGTGATTTTGAGTTTGCAATGCCAGCAGCAAAAGATCAGAGTTTCAACAAACGGGGACCATACGTTAAGAGATACGACGCATTTAATTTCGCAATGATGTGTGATAGATTCGGCATTTCCGACAGAGTTGCCTCCTGCTTGGCTACAGCCTTATTTAAAGACATTGGATTTACTGATGAAAATGGGGAGACAATTATTATGGATTAATCCAAAGTTGGACGAGAAAAATTGAAATGCAGGGAGACCGTTCGACGTATGCAGCAAAATGATTCAGCTTTACTAGCCTTTTCTTTTGATGGCAGGAAAAATGACGCTCTGACACGGAATGAAGTCAATGGAAAATACCATCCGAGAGTAAAAAAGGAGTCTCATATTGTGATTCTTAAGGAACCGCAAGGCAAGCTGTTGGGGCACATAAAAGTTAATGCTGAGGATTCCAATACTAAGCAAATCCAATTATGTGAGTTCTTTAAGGAAAAAAAAATAACGCTTAGTAACTTGATTGGAGTTTGCTGTGATGGAGAACCAACCAATACTGGAATTGAAAATGGAATAATTCGAAAATTTGAACTTTTTTTGAATAGACCATTACATTGGTTTGTTTGTTTGTTGCATTTTAACGAACTTCCATTTCGCCATTTGTTCAATGCCTTGGAAAATGCAACTACAAGTGGACCACGTACAGCTAGTGGGACTTTGATGAAGTTACTTGAGACCTGTGAACAACTTCCGGTAATAGCAAAGTTTTAATAGAGCATTTTCAAATTAAAACAAACATTTTGTTTTAGGTCATACCTGATTTTGAACCCATTTCATTGGGGAACATGCCTCCAGCAATGGATAATACAGATGAAAAAAGTCTTTCGACAGACGTTTTATATCTCTATCGAATAGCCAAAGCTGTATCGGAAGGTTTGTGTCCAGAAAATCTTGCCAGCATGAAACCCGGAAAAATGGTTCATTCTCGTTGGTTAACAAAAGCCAGCAGAGTTTTACGTCTTTATGTCGCAAGTAGTTTACCTTCGACAAATTTAAAAATGTTGGCTAATTTCATTATGAAAGTTTATATACCGATGTATTTTAATGTCAAATTTTTTAATTCGGTGGTATATGGCAGTAAACTTTTATTTAATTTTATTCAATCAACGCAATTTTTACCACAAAATCTGAGGGAAATTGTAAACAAAACAATCCAAAACAATGCATTCTTCGCCCATACGGAAAATATTTTGCTAACAATGCTTTTCGATGAAAGGAAAACAGTTCGCGAAAGTGCAATAAATAAAATTATGTATTATCGCGAGAAATTATATGACCCAACTAAACTTAGAACTTATAAAAAGAATCGCATTAATTTCGATTGCACCGATTATATGCATTTAGTTGACATGGATAATGACGACATCTTATTTGAACCTCCATTTACTGCAAACATCCCACACGATCACTTGTTGGAAT